TAGGATATCTGATCAATGACAATAATACGAGGCATGTTAAAACAGAACAATGTATATACGATGTCATCTCGTTAATATATAAAATGCTAATATAAAATTACTATTGTTAAATATTTATATATTATAAAAACGATAATGTGTCTCTTCTCAATAAGAATATTAAGTTAAAATCATATTCTAATAAATGTCAGAATACTTTCTTTTAAAAGAATACGCTCTCTTCGTGGCACAATATTACTGGACACATTGCATCCGTTATACAACATATTAACATCTTTTTTATTAGCATAGATAAAAAATGTGACTGCAAAAGTTTTCATCCTATCGATATCCTATCATGAGCTACACGCATTATATGATGATAATTATAATCATTTCGTATGATCTAAGTAAGTTATTATGCAAAATGTACATAGTGCGAATATGATTGTTCCTCGTTTAATAATGATGTACTTTGGCGATGAAATATTTATATATTTATGCTGATCAACTTCGCTAAATGGGGGATAAAACTTACTGATATTTTCTCTTCGGCTAGTTATAATTTATACGATAATCACAGCCCAGAACTTGTATACCTGATATTACATTTCGAGTGTTACTTTAGATCCGCATATCGATTTGATTAAAAAGGACAGTACCGTAGAAACCAATTATTCGGCAACTATGTCGCGCCTTTGGAGATTTCTGTATGAATTCCTAAAGAAAAGAAGAGAAATGAGTGTTTCTCTAATTTCGAAATCTAGCAAAAACTGTAAAATAATGTAGCAATACAAAATTATCATGCAATATATGGTACAACAAGATCTGGATTATACATATAAAAATATATATGTATGTGAATGTGTATACACACACGTTTATATCAATGCAGGATAGAGCAATAATTCCATCTATTTTAAATATTTTAAAGATTTGAGATTGTCGAGATTAGAAGTTTGGTGTAGACAGTAGTGACATATTATGCAAATCTTTGTTCTAAATGTGATTATGCACGCACACATACGCAAAAACTGTTGCAACTTTTAATCTGCCGACTGTACGAATATTGAACTCACGACAAACGAACTTTTGTTTGCGTCATTTTCTCAATAATCAGTCAGTTCAGAGACACTTGAAGAGGACAGAGTTAATGCTGCACCCTGTACGCTACGCATGTATATATATATACACATATATACATACATGCATATATATATATATATAATATCCACACCTATAACATGAAATAATAAAAAAATATCTGGAAATTGTTACGATAATCCGTAAAAATTTCGTTTGGAAAACTTGATTTTCACGTCTCCGATAATTATACGTGCGACATAATCAAGGAGCAACTGCTCTACGTGTCCTCGCGAAAAGCAAAGCGCTACTCCTTCGACAGGAACGTATCCAGAAAATGCTTCGTTTTATTATGAATAAGAACTGCTGATATATATTTACAGATGCGCGATAATCTTGTACACGGGAATCGTCGTTTTGCGCAACCGATCAGCGTGTTAATCAAACTGATATCTCGCAGAAAGCAACATCTACGCTCATCATCGTTTCTACAGGAGAGAGAAGTAAGTGATTTTTCTTTACACAGAGTTCGGCCTCCCACAATGATATCATATCAATCGATTCCTTGTCTTATCACTGGCAAGTTTTCTAAAACAACAATATGACGAAAGTTGAATTAGAAGCGAGTGTAAAATATGACGATTAATTTCGATAATGAACGGATGAATCGCGAGCGAAGGAAAATCGGCGCGGACTCAATATATCTGACCTATCACAGCAACCGGCCGCGGGCCGTTGTTCACGTTGTTCATATTGACATGGATATGCGTGACCGGCATGTGGTGATGATGATGATCCTCGACGATGATATCGCCGTATTGAGCGCGGCAGCGCTTTTGGTGGGCGAAGAGGCTGCCGCTGTGACTGTAAGCGGCGCCGCACGTCTTACAGACGTACGGCTTCTCGCCGGAGTGCGTGTACGTGTGCTCCTTGAGGGTGCTCAGCCGCTTGAACGCCTTGCCACAGGTCTTGCAGAGGTAATTCGCCTCGCCTGTGTGCCGGGTCAGGTGACGACGGAAGGCCGAGCTGACGGCGAACGCGGCGCTGCATACGTGACAGACGAACGGCTTGTCGCCCGTGTGGATGCGTATGTGATTCGCCAGGCTGGTGGTGGTGGTGAAGCCGCTGTTGCAGGTCTTGCAGACGTGCGGCTTCACGCCGGTGTGGGTGCGCATGTGGTAGGTGAGGGAGGAGTTGCTGGGGTAGACCTTGCTGCAGATGTGGCAGAGGTATTCGCGCGGCACCTTCTCCTTCGGCTTGTGCGTGCGCTGGTGGAGGACCAGCCGCGCTTGGCTCGCGCACACTTTCTTGCAGATCTCGCAGGTCACCGGCTCGGCCTTCGGCTTGTGCATCGACACGTGCCGCCTCAGGCCCTTCTTCGTCGCCATTACCTTGTCGCAGTGCTGGCACTTGTACTCCCCCCCGTCCTCGTCGCTGTCCTCCTTCTTCACGCTGGCGTTGCTCGCGGCGTTGTTGCTCGCAGCGTTGCTGCTCGCATCCGAGTCGTACAGCTTGTTGTCGTCCGCGAGGTTGTCCAGCAGCCCGTGCCCGTGCTTCTCCGCGTGCTTCTTCAGGGTGTCCGGCCTGAAGAACCACTTCTTGCAGACGGTGCACGAATACTTCTTGTCGCCGTGTACGAGAGCGTGCCTCCTCAAGTTCTTCAAGGACGAGCAGTACTGGCTGCAGATCTCGCATTTGTACAGCTCGGGCGCGTTCTCGAACTCGTCGTTCGCCGCCGCCGTCTCGTCGTCCTCCGTGTCGTCCTCGCTCTTCAGCTCTTTCTTCGGCTCCTTGCGCTCGTCCGTGCTGATCTGTTTGATCATGTCGTTCACCTTCTCCGTGTGGGACTTGAGGTGCTTCACGAGACTCTGCGGCTTGGAGAAGCACGCGTGGCACAGCTGGCACGCGTGCGGCTTCGACGCGTGTATCTTCTGGTGGTTCTCCATGTTCTCCTGCTTGTAAAACATCTTCAGGCAGACGTTGCACTTGTATTTCTTCTCGTGGACGAGCGAGTGCTTCTTCAGGCCCTTCTGCGTAGCGTACTGCTTCGAGCAGACGTTGCACTTGAACTTGGACTCCACCGAATCCTGACTGTCGCTGCTCGGCTCGTAATAATTTTGCCCGGCCTCGTCGTCGCTGTACGCCTTCGCCTTAGCTTTCCTCGTGGACGTACGTTTCTGCGGGAAGTTCTCCTCGGCTTCCTCCTCCTCTTCCTCCAAATTTCCGAAAGTTTCGCCGCTTTTCTCGACGTACCGCTCGGCTTCCTTCTCGTCGTTTTTGCTCGGCATATCGGATGTCTCCGCTATCGACATCTCGTGAACCACGTTTTCCGTTATGCAGGAGTCCTTCGTCGTCACCACCTCCTCCTCCTCCTCTTCCTCCTCCTCCTCCTCTTCTTCTTTGCTACCTTCGAACCCGATGGAACATATGAACAGCTTGTCGTCTTGAATATGAATCTGATTCGTGCTCAGACTGCTCTCATCTCTGACGAATGACTCAGCAGGCTGCGCATATTCCTGCGCCACCACTTGCATGTCCTCTTTAACAAAATACTCATCTTGAAGATGATTCGGTTTGGTCGCCAGTATAAACCTTGCTTGGAAATCTGTCTGTGTACAAGAATCCTGAAAAGTGCGATATCAGATATTGATGCGCCTCGGCACGAGCGAACAAACTTACCGTAATATGACACTTGGCAGGCTTGTTGTAGTACATGCGCAACCTTGCGTCCGAATGCTGACACTGCTGTCTGAACTCGTGTGCCACTCTAGCCTTGTACGCACAAACATCGCATATCAGCGAAGGCAGTCCATCCTGTTCGTGTATCTCAATGGAACCACAGATTTGTATCTTCTGCGAGAGTCCTGGGAAATCATTCGCCTCTTGATCACTGGAGAAGATCGCCGACAGATTGGTGCTCTCGATTAGGCAAATTCTGCACACTCTGTCCATGTTGAGCGGCAAAGCGAAGTAACTCGAAGTCATTGTTCCACCTCCAAGGAACAACACTCATTTACTGCGAGTTATCTGCATCAGAAAATAGAAGTTAGAAGACGTTTTTCCTCCCTGTGTACAAGCATGATTCCTGCGGAATGACAGTTTGAACGAGACACGAGAGATATTATCGCAACGTATTACGTTAAAGCGCAGAGACGATGTAAGAAAGCCGGCGATCCCACGCAACGTAAACAAAAGTAGGATCGGATTTCCCAGCGGCCATATGATACGAGACGCCCGGGCCCGGTGCGTTTCCTCTCATCGTGCACTTTTCAGTGCATTCGAGTACATGGAAAAGATTAATGTTCTCAACCTCGTTCGTCAAAGCATGCCGACCAATGGCGAAACAACGCACGGCGGATGATCTCTCTCAGACGACTTTCAAGTGTCGCACGATGTGCCTCGCTGCATGCTTGATCTCGGATGAATATTTAGACGGGCCTTTGTTCGTCGGTTCCCTCGACGACCGCGGAGGTTGAGAGCGATCTGAAGCGCTCGCTCTACGAGTGGGTGGGTTATTGTTCTACAAAGAGATCCGTGCGTGAAGACGAGGAGGTCAGTTACATCGGCTTCGATTAATTCACTCGCTGTTCTCCTCTACATATCAGCTCTTCTCCAGGTGCACTCGCTCACAGAACGGTTTCTCATATTTCGGAACACGCGAACGAAGCGAACCTATGAATTAACGATCATGCGCAGTAGCTAATCTGACAGCTGTCAGATTATATGTACAAGGTGTAGGCGTAACTGATAGAGCAATATATTAGTTACACGCACTTTAATACAATTAGGACTGAAAAATTAAGATTATAAATTATAGTGGTTAAAAATTAAAGACTTCAAGCTTTAAAGTGCTTCTTAAACGATCTCCATAACGTCATTTTTACGAAAGTTATAGCTTGTATTTCGCCTATATTTTTTATTATAATGAATAGTACGTCTGGCCAACCCTTAAGTCATACTACTTGAAAAATTAAAGTACGTCCATCGTTTAGTCATATCACGACCTCAGTTTCTCGTTAAGGAAAGTGACGACTCGTAGCGGAGGTTTTGGAACTAAATTACAGAAATAACGAGTTTTGTTAGACCCGTTATTTCTGTAATTTAGTTCCAGAATCTCCGCTACGAGTCATCACTTCCCTTAACGAGAAACTGAAGTCGTAATAGGACTAAACAGTGGACGTACTTTTTTTTCTTTCAAGTAGTACGACTCTGAAAGGGCTGGTTAGAAGTATTTTCCATCGTAATAAAATCGTAATAGAAGACTATCCAGGAACCTTAATTTTACTACTCATTCGCAGGTGGTGAACAATTTCCCATATATATACACACACACACACACACGTATGTAACGAAAAAGTTAATTTACTCAATGTACATGTAAAATGTAACATATCAAATATATTCAAATTGCTTACAATTTATTTAAAATAACAAGAGATATGTTGCTTCACACATTGGAAATATTTAACAGGTATGTTCAGACAACATATTCGACAATAACCCAGTCTTATCTCTACACACATATACTTGTATCTTATATTTTCATCCAACACTCCTCAGTAAGGATTCAATTCTTACTTGATTATTCTTCTTTCCAAGAATTGCGCGAAATTATATAATCATAATTCAAATATATATCTCCGAATCTCATCGCATTAACAAATATTCTTCAAAAGAATAATTTTCTTATAGAAACTGATTCCAAATATTCACTCAACCATCGCAATGATATCGTAAGACGTTATTCATGCAAAATTATACGTACAATTATCAAATTCATATATATATGATTTGTGTTTCTTCCTTCTTACAGCTTTTTCTTAACATTCGCTTTACTTTTTACATCTATATTCCAATAACGGAAAAGTTGCAGTACTATTATACCATTTGCTAGCGTGGAGCATACATACATCGTTATTATAGTCGCATCACCTGTTTCTTGGATAGAAGTAAAAATTCTCGCTAAAGAACCGAAGAAGAGCATAAAAATCGTTGCCGCAGATAATTGGCCAGTACTTCCATTACAGTAATTTGTCCAGGCTTGCATAAGCTATAAATTACACATAACAATTCATTGAAGTGTTAATGAAATAATACATATCAAAAGTATTTAATTAAAGATACAATAAAAATCACAAGATCAAAAGATTTGTCAATTAAACTGTTTACCTTGCTAATGAGAACAATGGGTATATTTATCGCTTGACATGCCCAGAGAATATGGACAGGTGTTGCCCCACTATTAGCTGCAAAAACCACTGCTATATAAGCAAAAAGCAGAGCTGTTGCTTTTGCCGTTTCTCCATTATAATGCATTACTAAAACTGCAATGGCCAAAGTTTGAATCCCTAAAAACACCACATCTCCCCAAGCACTGAAATTATGTTTGATATAGGATAATATTTTGTAAATTCTTATATATAACAAGTTTTATTTATACTTATTTTGTTATTAATTAATTATTTACTTACCTAAATGGAAATCCATTGATAAAACTATAAGATATCATTGCAGTGATGGCAAATAAATCTAACAATACACTAAAGATATTGATTCCTTCGCCACTTTTGTTTTGTAAAATTTTCACAATTTGTGGAATTTTTACTAAAAAGAAGATAAAAATACATTTATACAAATCAGAATAACTTAAATATGTTAATACTGAAATTTGTAACGATAAAAGCAAGACTAACAAAAGCAAATATTTATAATATGATAGTGTAAACATAGGAATTTTTCTCAGAAAGATGTTTTTATAAAACAATGAAATGAATTAGAAATTTTTATATATCTTGTAGAAAAAGGATATATATTCTAACCAAAGAGAGAACCTCCGATAATACCGATGCCTAAAACTTTGCTCACAGTTGCCTTGAAGCATCCAACTGCAACATCATCAAGATTATTCTATTTTAGTTATACATATATATATATATGAATACACATGTACACATACATATAAGTATATATCAATATTTTAATACAATTTGCTTTACAATCTCAGCCTTTCTATACGAGTTATTAAGAAATATACATATTTTATATTTATTTATATAATAAAAACACTATAAATTCCCCGAAAATAAAGTTAAATGGGATAAATTATGTAAGATTTCCTTTTTGAAATAACATAACTACAATTAATTCTTTACAAAAAAAAAATAAGTTTGTAGAATTTTCAGCTCGATATTAAAGATATCAACACTCACCATGACTTTCACAGATTATGTTAATAATGACATATTGGTCTGGCATAAGGAAGATATATTGTATCAATTTAATACACCAATGTTTATATCCGATTTTGCATATCGAAATATAAAATAATTAATATGTGATAAGGCCGATATTACCGCTATTGTATGTGGTGCAAACGTACCGTGAAGAAATTGGAACTCTTTGAAATACTTTTCCGCACATTCTTCCGTAAATAATAATAACGCAGCGTTTCTCATCAGTTGAGCCATTTTGTCGCAATTTATACTTGGTTTTTGTACTATTTTTTTGTGTACGAAACGGTTACATGTGACACGTTCTTATATCACAAAACAATCCAGAATCCAGAGTACATCCAGAAGCCACATCGCTCACTAAGAGTGTGCGTTCGGGGAGACGCTATTTAACCGCGTCATTCTATTACTTTTTACATATGCAACAAGGATAGAATGACGCGGTAGCGCTAAATAGTGTTTCCCCGAACGCATCCTAAGTCCCGATCTACAATAGGTGTTTTAAGCCTCGAGAAATTGACCAATCACAGTCAAATGTATAGTTAACAAGTGAATATAACACAGAGATGCCATACCGACTCCTAGCGGAGAAATAGAGGGGGGATGAGGAAAAGAAAGAATATGAAAACATTATTTATTGTACACTTTAAGATACCATTTCGTTAAACGCAAGGTGAAAGGAAGAGGAAATATTGCAAATGAAAATCGAAGTCGATGTTAGGGAAAAATCGAATAGAAATTGGTATGAGTGTATTAGTAAGTAGGTTAGGATTAAGATTAGAATAAGTTAGAGCCTCGGCAGAATGATTGACCTTTAAAACAATGTTTTATGTCCTTTTTCAATCTTTTTCTTAATACGACGAATGATATTAATAGTGGCTATATAGAATAATAGATTAAGATATACATTATAAGAATAGAATTCTATTGAATTTAATTAATTTTGAGTTATTTAATAATCATATATTCTTTCCAGATAACTCTCGCATATTGATTTGCGATCGGACGCAATATGAATTGCCCATAAATCAATTCGTCGGATTTAACTTTTTTTTACTTTCTTTACCTCCCTCTTACTCAACTTTTCTGTTTCAATGGTTACAAATCAAACTTTAAAAAGTCAACTCTGAGTATCAGCATAGTTTTATTTAACAATTAACAATTGAAGGTACTTAATTTGTCCACGTATATTCTGGCCAGATACGCAAGAAGAGTGCTCAGTATCATCTGGAGTATAACCAATTCCCAAGAAAGTTACATAACTTATGATTTCCTACTCAACACACACGTTATACAACAGTTACATTGTCGAGTAGGAAATTATAACTAACAGTTGTACAACTTGGTGTTTGCTGAGTCCGGAATTATGGATCCGGGAGAAAGTCTCACGACGATACTTGCGATCCCTTCATTGGTGAAATTAATCTAACAAATTATGCTAATACAGTGTTTAACGCTTGTTCCACCTTGGCAAATATCTCGTCCACCGTTCCTTCCGCATTAATCTGAAACAGGAGAAATTTTTATACCAGCTAAAATAAAATGTGGAAAATGCCAGAAAAAAATGTAAAATTAAATTTTCCTTACTTTAACAACTTTATCTTTGTAGTGATCGATGATCTCATTGTTTTTCGAGTTAAATATCTCGATTCTCTTCTTAATCGTTTCTTCATTGTCATCTGCTCTTTGAGAAACAGCGGCACGTCCGAGAAGCCTCTTCTTTAAAGTTTCATTTGATACATCGAAGAAAAGAATCAAGTCGACGGAGCAAACCTGCACAAAGACATATTGAAATGTTTCAATGTATGAAAACAAGAAGAATGGCAGCAGAAAGAGAATCTGCGTAAGGCTGAAGACTGTATTAGTGATTATAATTCGACGAATCAATCAATTTTGGCTTTCTGCTTGTTTCGATCAGTCATATTAGTCAGCTAGACGGCGCCGCAAATTTCTAAAGGGCATCTTAAAAACATCCGAAAAAAAGTCTTTTAAACTGTCCTTCAGAAGTTACATTGTTCGAAAATCTTCAATCTGCAGTGTGACTCCACCAAACTCCGATTAAGCTGATTTTCGGGCCAGACATTTCACATTAATTTAATCAGCTGATTATTCCATTGACCAATCACATTTATCGTTAAGTAGAATTGGTTGAATTGGTCCAAGTGATTCTGTTAATCGTCGATTAATCAGAGTCATCTTTGTTGCTTTACCTTTTCCTCGAAAAGAATGCCTTGCTCCTTTTCGCGAGGATACCCATCGATTAGGAAGCCGGTCTTGGTTTTATCCTTTTCGCGAACCATTTTCTCCTTGATAAGTTCCAGCACAACGTCCTAGCGAAACCACATGATCTTCACTGAGGAAAACGGGGATTCGTTCGCGTAAGACCAGTTTTAAATTGACATACTCTTTTGCTCGCAGTATGTTCAATTCAAATGGGTCGAATATAACATACCGTTGGCACGAATAATCCTTTGGACATCAAGTCCTGGAGCGAGGCACCCCTCTCGCTGCCACTGGCGACTTCCGCGCGCAACAAATCGCCGCTGCTCAGGTGAACGAATCCGTATTTCTCAATCATTCGGTCGCATTGCGTCCCCTTGCCGCATCCTGGTCCGCCGATCACCCAAATTGTTTTCATTTCTCCCGCCTAGCTTTCTCCAACGGTTGCACTGAAAATGGCGGCCATTTTTAATTCTTCTTTAAAGATTCAAATCTTTTCAAAAGAATCATTTCGAGCATATGTGCTAATCTCAAATATCTTTGAATTCATATTTTCACGAATTTCATGCTCTTCACAAGTGCGATTTTCGCGATGGAAACTGTATGCATTATTTCTAATAACTTGAAAGATATTACACCCTTAGCGCTTGAGTGCAAGTCACATTCTCTGGTTATGACGAGACGATTGAGCTCGCGGTGAACGTACGAAGGAAACTTCGCCTGCGACAATCGAATAAACCGTGAAAACTGAGTTAAATTTCAAACGTATCGATTTTTCACTCGCTCGTAAAGACGAGGGCGCGCTTGCGCCCAGCTCTCAGGAAAGCTCATCGACGTGCGGTGTATCTTGTCACCTTTCTCCGCGTAAAGCACAAATTCTCAACTAACTGAACGAATCAATCAAAACGCTGCTAGTTCTTGAGGAGAAAATTTTCGAAGAATCCAAGGAAAACGTCGGATGGCTATTCTGAGGACGCCGGATACGAAGCACAAAGTGTGAAGATGGCCGAGTGCAACACGCAAAAGCGCGGAAACGACTGAAATACATCCGGCTTGATCTCCCTCCCGGGATCGGCCGATGATAGAGAAGCGTATTGCACAATATTGTTAGCCACATCTGTACAAATATAGCAACGCTCGAAAATAAACTCATGACGAACGTGTGGCGATCCTAGCTAAGTTGCATTATGACATTGTTGTGTGTATATTATATAATCGTCTACTTGTCTTAATAATACTCGTTGCCTGTGTGGCGTGTTCTACTTAGATAGCAAGATGTATTCAATTTGGCCTCATTTTGTACTCACAATAATCAAAAGCGAGCGAGCGAGAACAAGAATAGTTGTAGATGCGTACGGATATGCTGCTCAGATGTCGTTCGTGTCAAGAAAATATTACGTCAAAAACATTTGTATGCTCACACGATATATCTGATATTTTTTGTATTTTAAGTTGTATCGAAGATATCTATTCAGATATTCACATAAATATAAATTATTAATATCTAACTAAAATCTTTTTTTAGTTCGAATTTCTTTAAATGTCAATTCGGTATTATTCAATATAAAACTAAACAATTTTTAACCAGTATTGTATTCCGTAGTATTACTGTAGTATGTGTGTGAATGGCATGAAACCTTTGTGAGCGGAATTCACTTGATGAAAACTCACCACGAGTGGGATTCACGAACGAAACCTTAAAGCGTGTTTTACAATGGACAGTAGGAATATGTTCATAAGAAGTAAGACTAAGTAATCGACCAATCATGTTCGAATGTAAGGGAAACAACGATTGGTTAATTTCTCACTTCTTATAAACACTGCCTATTATGAACTCCATTCAACCCCATTGCCGTGTCAACGTAGTCCATATTTGAAGACCTTTAAGGTCTCCTCTTGCGGAATTAAAAGTGTGTGTAAGGTAAGAAGTGCCATTTGCAATATTTCGTAAAAGACCATTCGGATATCTATTTACGTGCTTTGAGCAATTCTAAAGGTAAATACCAAGTGGGGTTTTTTTTTTTTTTTCAGAAAAACATTTCTGAACATGGTCTATTCTTCAGGTATCGGAAAATAAGAGACCCCACATATTTCACGGAATAACTTAAATAGTAGCTTATTCGAAGCAAGCTCCCTGATGTAGCTAAAGTTAAAAGATGTAAAATGTGTATATAATTGTAAGAACATTGAGAGCTTCTGTCTGTCTTTAAAAAATAAACAGCTCTTGTAAAGAATTATTTTTCTATACCTTTTTTTCCGAAAAATGTTTTTTTTCTGGCAGGTTATAATTTTTCAAAAAAATAAATAAATAACAGTAATGATTGCATATCAAATTTGCGATTAAAGCCATTTTACAATTCTGTTTCCTTAAAACCAACTTGAAGTAACATCACAAGATCTTATCAACTAGTTCTTGAAACATTATATATTATTGTATAATTTCATAAATATATTATTTACAGCCTGTATTTATGCAGAAAATATTAAATTATGGATATATCTTACAAAAAAAGAGTCTTTCACCTTCACACATGTCTATTCATATATCGGGCATTTTTGTGCTCATAACTATCAATATCAAGAAAAATGATTAATAGTATGTATAGATTTCCATTTTTAGGAATGAAATTCACACGAGCAAGATCACTTGGTGCTTTACTCTATTTCATTTATCATATCATATATATCACGGAATGTTCTTTCTATCATTATTTCTTCTTCTTCGGTTTGGTAGGAACTTCCGACTGTGGCTTTTGCCAATCCAATGGTTTGCGACGATACATGGGCCATGGAGGTACCGTAATTAATGCTGCCATTACAAATCCAGCGCCCAAAATATAGATTGTCTGTGAGAATTGTTGAATGACATATCCCCAGGTTAAACCGACCACCTATAAGAATATTGATTTAAAGTTAATGTCCATTAATATGCCTAGACAATCAGAACTTACACCAAATAACGTTATTATGACTCTTGCTAATCTCTCTGCTCTAGCTTGACCATCGTAGTCCTAAAAGCAAGAAATCCTCAGAGATTCTTTATAGATATGTAAACATTTGTATGTAAGCGTAGCACCATCTGTACTTACTTGCGATACAATATAAATTATAATAATTACGGTATGCACACACACATGAAGTTATAATTACATTCACAGATGGTGTACGATAACATAACCTAGCGTAGTGAATTATCATAAGTTTAATTTTATCGCAGAAAATGCAACAGTTCAATAAGACAGTTATTTATGAATGTTGCAACTCACCATATGTGTTGGAATAGATTTAAAGTATTGCACCCACGCGCTCATCGTGAATAAATACGAACGTGTCAAAACGATTTATCAAGATCGGTACTCGCTTCCATTCACTTACGGATTACTCACGGACTAGAGAGAAATCTGAGAGCGGCCACGCCGACGTTTGATACGCCATCTGTATCGACTTTTGACATTGGAACTACTTCGCTACATCTACTTTTTGATACTGTCGATAATATTTTCATTTTGTGACCGTGTCCGGTACTACGTCCACAATTTCCGTGGATAAGAAACGCCGTGTTCCTCAGAAAAAGTGCGAGGAAGTACAATTTTAAGAATCGCGGCCAAGTTTTAAGAGAGGAGACGCGAGATATTCTCATCGAAAATGAACACATACTAGACATTCAAGTATATATTTTACTATTTACATATAAACTTGTCATGTATTTTAAGTAACATGCTTACTGCACACACACACACACACACACACACACACACACACACACACACACACACACATATATTAGTTTTAAGAATAAAAACTGTCATTGTGATCTTGACGCAGTTTAAGACAGTGCGCACGACGTTCTATAAACGCGGCCATTCTAGTGGACGGTATAATAGCGCCACTAGATACCTAATAACAGAAAGAATGATGGTATAAGTATCACGTGAAATTTCAATGCATTGTCAAAGAGACAAGTAAGAATTCAACAATTTTCTCTCTCTCTCTCTCTCTCTCTCTCTCTCTCTCTCTCTCTTTGAAATACTAATATATGTCGTTTATAACGCGGTTAATAAATAACTATAAAATATTTGTACAGAATAAAATAACTGGAATGATTAAAATTTCAAGTAAAGAGTACAAATTACCTTTGATAACCATGTTGAAGCGAGACAAACTTCCGCATTTATTCGGTCCTCGCCACGCAGACACAGTAATCTTTTGAGAAGTTCCTTCGCGTCGTCAGATATCGTCTCAAAATATTCGTCGGGAAAACAAAAGTCACATTTGAGTATATTGGCGGTAGTTTCCTCTACAGAGTCGTCCAAGAAAGGCGATAATCCACTGAAACATTAAAAACCGTTAAAAAAGCACACGAAAAACTGTTACAACTAGAGAAATATAATTACAGAAATAAAAGAAGAACTAATTAAATTAAAGCAATAATTGAGATTAAATCAATTAAAAGTAAAATTAAAATTAATTTGTAAATAAAATTTGACTATCCAATGAACAAAACGTTGATAGAACGTTGTCGTGACGATAGTAGCACGTAACATCTAATATGTAGTTTTTAACGTTATATTTAGGAATTTTATAATGCTATCGATAAAATACTGGCATCGATATTTTTCTTTCAAAATGAAATATTTTTGTATCGACATTTTTTTCTCTCAATATTTCCCATATTACTTTATTTCGATTTCTTTCCGATATTAAAAAAAAATTGTTTACTCTGCAATATCTTCAATTCAAGATATCGTGTATTTTCACTTGATGAAAATTAGTGCAACATACTTATGTTTTAAACATATCTTTTCTCATGATTTCTGTTACGTTAATTTCACGATGATTTATTGATTTTTAGTTAAAGGGAAGAACATTTTAACAAGTCGATCATTCATCGACTTGATGCTTTCTGAACCCTTCCGTCACTGACTATAATGTGAGGACTCGTCACAGTGGAGTCTCCGGTCGGAACACAAGATTCGTTGGCGAAAAATTGTCGGGTATGTACGGTAAAACTGTTAAGAAGAACATTCGTACTGCCGATTAATCGAAGCGGGTGAAGTACCTCAATAGAACATAAATAAAGACCCCGACAGCCCACATATCCGTGTAAGAACCGGTCGGTCTGCCCAACACCGATTCCGGTGGCGCAAACTCGAGATCAGCGGGCGGTACAACCTCGTCGACGGGAGCTCTGACCGCCTCTCCCAGATCTATCACTTTCACCGCGTCTACCTCCTGGTCGATAAGAACGTTTTCCGGCTTGACGTCCAAGTGCGCTCTGTCGCGGCAATGCAGCCAATGTAGCGCCGACAATAGCTGAGCGGTGTATCGCGCCGCGGTCGCCTCGGTATACTCCGTTTTCTCGCTCAAATACGCGAACAGCGTTGGACCTTTGACTCTGAAGAGAAAGAAAGAAAGAAAGATAAGATCTCGATCGGATGCCAACGGCGGGAATCTCGCTTACAGTTCCAAGACAATGGTGTCGACGCCCGGTCGGGGCGCGTTCTCGAACAGGGCGAATGCTCGTACGATGTTGGCGTGATGAGCGGCGGCGAGAAGATCGTACTCCGCGCGTGTCAGCGATCTCGATTGCTTGTGTCGCGGGGTTTGCTTGAGGGCGACCTCCTGACCGGTGCCGCGATCCTTGGCACGACGGACCGTGCCGAATCTGCCGTTACCCAGCTCGTCCAACTCCAAGTACCTGCCGACGAATTGCTTGGCTTCCCATTCGTCGTTCGCGTTTGACAGCGTCACCACGCTCGATGGCAAGGTCGTTGTCCCGCCCTCCCCGATCACCCGGAAACTGTACGAAGCGTCCGCTGGCATATCCAGCACGGAAGGCGGCTCGTTGGCTTGCTTCAATATCGGCACCCATTGCTGCGAAGGTAAAGTCCTGCACTCTATACTGCACGACGCGCTACCGATCTCGTCTTTTTCCCAGTCGATCTCCACTCGCGAGGATCTCAAAACACGCACCATGGTACCGCTCCTGCCGCCTGAAACGTCAGGATAAGTTTCCTCCTCTTCGAAATGTAATCCTTCGGACATGTTGACCTACCTATGACGAAGAGCGCGATCTTCGTGGAACAAAAGCCCGTGTCGCACTTTACGTGGCAGTGATATATCCCGGAGTCCGAAGCTCGGCAGCCGGTGATTTGTAAGTAGATGAAGCCCGCGCTCTGTTGGAATTGATATCGGTCGTTCTTCTTCAAGCATCGATCCTCTTTCTTCCAAGTGACGACCGCACCGTCCGCGTTTTGCGTCTCGACGAGCAATCTGATGGATTCCCCAGCGGCTGCACGAATCGACATCGGACTGCTCAAAATAACTGGCGTCTTTTCCTCCGTCGTCTTCAAGGACTCGCGAGAATCGACGTGATCCACCTTTCGCGGACGAAACGACCACACTCTACTGTTCGCTGAGTTCGGGATCAGGCTTGCGGGGATCCATAGCTCGTCCTTGGTATTTACGGGGGACACCACCAGACCTGGGCCATCGAGGTGGGAAACGACCAGCTCGTCCCCGGCGTGCAACTTGCCCCAATCCGCGGCTAATCTTACGCGAGCACCTGGAACGACCTGAGGAAGCCTCCCATTACAGACATTTTCTTCCTCTCCGGACACGTATTTCTCATACATCTTGTATACACACGCCCTATTTTTGATTGTTCACCAGGAATTCAACAGATTCCCCAGGAGGAGCTCCCAGCATCGGTCGACCGTAATGCATCATCGGATAGTAGGCGGTAATACTAGCAACCGTCAGATCCCAGATGGGAGGAAGTAACACGGCATTAGTAGTAGCGGTGGTAGTATAGAGTATAACTGTGGTGGTGGTTACAGAAGCGGTACCGATAGAAAGCAGCATAGTTATGTAGCAGAGAATTAGAATTGTCCGTCAGAATTCAGCCTCTCGTAGCGATTACTTATATATTTGTTTCTTCTATGCCTGTAAGATCTTACTATATAAGTTAAGGAAATTCGCGCGGAACAACGATCTCTCACGGCGCGTCAAACAAAATTCTTTAATAACAGAAGTATGACTTATCGTCGCACCAACAGAAGGCAATGCAATAGATGCAATAGATAGCAGATAGTGACAGGCATCAAGAGGAAGAGGAAGAGCCCCTTTGCTGCAATCAAGAATTCTAATTGATATAGATGGATAACGAGAAAGCCGAATTAGCAAAAAGTCACGTTTGTGTCAACGAAGGTGAGCTCACCGGGATGGAGTTGTTGCGCACCGGCGAACGCGTGCGTAAAGTATTCTTAAATCCCTCCAAGAAGTTCAGTCTACTCTTGGTTGGACTGGGTGTACGTGGTGAACAATCCAATCCTCCGGTGTGCGAACGTTGCAGCTGCGGTTGACTACTCGACGTCCTATGCTCGTTACTCCTATCTTTGTTTGCCGATCCGGGGACTGTCAGAGTCGGAGGCACCGATACGGTTGCCCGAGTCGCAGATTCGGTGATGGCACGGCTGTACGCCAGCAAATTATAAATGAAATCCAAAACACAGTACTGCGCATCGAGACTTCTGATATCACCAAAAATACATCGGAAAATATGTGTACATTTTAACGTTGTCGACTTTCAAGTAATATCGACGGCACGAGGAGAAATTATAATCGTGAGAAAAATCTCGAGCAGCGATTGGAAGGAACGAATCTAGCCGGGATATGGAGTCGACGTCACAGCAACTTGGATATCTTTTAGATGTGTCGAAGAATTAGATGACGGGTGCTTAATAGCCACGCGCGATAAGGTAAATGGTTGGTTGTGATTGCGGATACTCTTCGACTTGTTTCCCGCAGTACTGTGTTCTTGACAAAATTATAAGAAAAGAAGCCTGTTAGTCGAGGAGGAGGGGGGGGGGCGTATATTAGACGAGGATCAAAGGGACGCACATCATCACAATCCACTAATCTTGATTTCAATTTACAATTTTATTCTAGACAAAATTCTTATGATTCGCGGATCAATTATAGCTTTGCTTTTGGACTATCCTCCACAGAGTATCGCGCATTATTTTATATATATATATATATATACATATATATATATATATATACATGTATATATATACATATATACACACACGCACACACACACACACACACACGTATATATATATATATATATATATATATATA